TTTTTTTTTTTTTTTTTTTGTGTTGCTTTCCTTGCTTTTAGCAAATATGCACCCTTGTTGGTCTCCAAAGCCATCTGCTTGCTTTTGCAGTCTGCTCTTTCTGAGGATGCTGTATAAGGTTTAGTGCTGAATTGTTGTGTTTCTCTGCAGGCAAAATTGGCATGGCGAATGGGAACAGCTTGAACGAAGTCAATGACATGGACTGCAGTCCCTCCACAATAGTAGATGACCTAATGAAAGAGGTAATGAATTGCTATGGCTAAGAAATGGATGGGATTTCTTGGCTGGAAGGGCTGCTGATGGCAGAGTTTCTCCCTGGATTTTTTTTGCCTTTTTTTTTTACTGGCAGGGTGGGATAGATGGGAGAACGAAGTTCTGATAATCGCTGTTGCAAGTGATGGATTGTAAATGCGTTTGTCACATCTGTTTTCATAACATAATGAAAACATCCATGAGACCTGCTTGTCACATCAGTCACTCTTTGCCTTACCTTCCTTTGTGTAAGCATTTCAGCTTGGGCCAGAGCTCAGTAGTCCTTGTTGCTCTTCCTGATGGTGTAGATCTGGGCCAAATGCTGCTCGCAGCTTCCCACCCACTTCCAGCGGCTTGTCTAGGATAAGCCCAACCCTTGGTCTCTTGGCTTGTTCGTGAAGCCCTAGGCCCAGATTTCTAACCAGCCACAAAAAGGGCAAGTTCAGTGATGTCACGGACCCCTGGCTGCTTTATTATAATGGCCTTTCCCACCATTCCTTATCTTGAAAATAACCTGTTGCAAATGGACACCGATTGCCTGAAATGGCAAAACTCAGTCCAGGTTTGCTGTCCAGATGATTATAAAATTACAGAACATGATGGTTGGAAGAGACCTCAGGAGGCCACATCTAGTCCAACCCCCTGCTCCAAGCAGGACCAGCCCCAGCTGCATCATCCCAGCTAGATCTAATGATTTTTCTTTCTTCCTCAGTCCTCGTGTGTAGACGAATACCTGGGAATAATAAAGAGAAGCCCATCCCCACCTCAAGAAAGTTGCCGAAACCCTCCCATACCAGACTGGTGGATCCAGCCATCTAATCCCTGTAAGAAACAAACAGTAAATGTGATGTTTTACTAGAACGGAGTTTGGCTCAGTAACCACTGAGGAACCAGACAGGAGATGCATGCAGTGTCTGAGCAGCTGCCTACAGATATGCTGCTAGCTGAGGAAGAAGCTGATCGTACATCGAATTATAAATCTTCCTGCAAACATTTTTATTTTTGCAGTGGTTGGCCCTAACCTCCAATTTTTAACAGTTCATTAGGACTTTGTGACCAACTTTTCTGGATTCAGGTATCCTCAGGTCTCTACTATTAGCATGCCAGCAGCCTCTCAGTGTCTCTGGGAGTTCTTCAAATTCCCATGAGAAACATGGGTTCTGTAACATCCTGGATCCCCTGTTGGGTACCCCTTGACTTTGACTGTGCCCTTGATATGGGCAAGAGTCTATCAAAACCCCTGTGTATTTGAAGGTGAAAGCCGGGAAGAATAATGATGTGGGTTTGGTGTGAGGAGGTTGCACTGAAACTAAATGAGCGGGCTGCGGTTGTGGAACGAGACCATACTTGTGCCAGAGCATTATACACAGATGTAACTTTTGTTTCTTGTCTTCCAGCAGCTGTGCCCTTGATGAACGGGTACTCAAACTATGAGCAGCTTCAGGGTCATTCAGGTACGTCACTGCATGCTGCCTAGCTCAATGAAATGCCAGTCCCAGTGCTCCTAGATAGTCCTGCCATTATGGCACACGGTGATCATGGGACCACTCCCCTGCCTTGGTGCTGAGGACAGAGGCCATAAAGCATGAGGCAGTGAGTATAGAGAGCCACATACTAGGGCATTGGCCAGATCCCACCCAAAGGTACGGTGCTGGTGAACCTCTCCCAACCATACCCAGTGTTGTTCCATAGAGCAAGCTGCTTTGCTGACATGATTTACCCAAGTCTAAACCCTTTGCTGCTCATCAGTGGCAGATGTCTGTAGCCTGGGGACAGGAGGGGGACGTGTGCTTGAGACCATGCTGTAGTCACAAATAGCATGTCCAGTACTAGCTGATAAAACCATAAGGGTCCTAGCTCCCGTGAACTGATGGCAATAAAAAGCCATGCTTCAGGAGGTCTACTCACAGCAGTAAGAACTGCAGGCTCTCCTTCTCTAAAAACACTGCTTGTTCCCACCCCAGCAAGCTGCTGGAGAGCCACGATGCCGACAGAGCAACCTAAGCTGCTGGTAGCTGCATCCTTGGCACATCTGGGGCTCTTGTAGCTCCGTCCTGTGTGCAGCCATGGGCTGTTGTCAGCCACGACGGAGAGATTGTCTGTGCATCCTCTGAGAGGCCATGTCTGTGCGTCTCCCCGCAGGCTACTGTCAGATGATGATCAGCTTCTACTATGGTGGGAAGCTGGTTGGCCACACCACAACCTCCTACCCCGAAGGCTGCCGGATTTCCCTCAGCCAGCCCCCGACTCACAGCGAGAAGGTCTGCACTGACAGCCTGGAGCACATCCGGTTCCCTTCTGCTGACACCATCCCCAATGACCGCCAGAAGCAGATCACGAAGAAGCTCTTTGGGCACTTGGAACGGGGCGTCCTCTTGCACAGCAACAAGCAGGGCATCTTCATCAAGAGGCTGTGCCAGGGCCGGGTCTTTTGGAGTGGGAACACCCTGGTCTTCAAGGACAGGCCCAACAAGCTGGGAAGGGATGAGGTGGTTAAGATATTTGACACCAACCAGTTCATCCGAGGTTGGTACCACGCTCTTTTTGTCTCTGCCCCCGTCCGCTTTCCCCTTGGACAGTTCTGGGAACTGCATCAACATCCTCCTACACTGTAGGGTCCCGTCTTCAGCTAGTGGAAACCTGCATGTCTTTTGTGAAGTCCATTGTAGTTGAAGGGGTTTAAGTGCTCCATTTTCCATTAGAACAGCGCCTGGGTTTGATGCAGTCTTGAATGCATTTATCTGTAGAGTGTGACAATGCTGCATTGTACAAATGGGGAATGGAGGCTGAGTGACATGACTGAGGTTGCACAGGGAACCAGTGGCAGAGCACAGTCTTGAAACCCAAGTACCTCAGGTCCCAGGCAGTACT